AGTATGGAAACCATCCACGAGGCCTTCACCAAGCAGCTGCAGGAGACCCACAAGAAGTTCGGGGACGAGAACTCCCCAGCCAAGGCCGCTGGACACCAGAGCGGCCCCGAGGAGGAGCAGCAGGTCGAGCAGGGTAAGTACCGCGGACTCAGTGGGCACAGCCGCAGCCCACACCGCACGGCTCACCCACCATCCTTCATCCCACAGAGAGCAGCAATGCCCTGGTGGGCCCAGGGGACGGGATCCCTGCACCCCAGAAGGTGCTCTTCCCCATGGAGCGCCTGTCCATGAAGTGGAAGAAGGTGCACCGGATCGGCGCAGGACTGCACAACCTCGGGAACACTTGTTTCCTCAACTCCACCGTGCAGTGCCTGACCTACACCCCGCCGCTCGCTAACTACCTGCTCTCCAAGGAGCACAGCTGCACCTGTGAGTAGTGGGGCCTGGCTCAGCGGGCGGCTGTGCTGGCAGGTCCCTGCTCCTCGCGCTGGGTTCAGTATCTCTGCATGTGGCTCTGTCAAGGGCCATGCGGGTGTCAGGATGAACCATCTCCACTCCCTCCTGCCCGCTTCTCCACCGAGATGCTGTTCCTGCGTACAGCTCCTTTTTCCCAGCCATAGCAGCATTCCTGAGCTCTGCATCCTTGTGTCTGGGGAGACTTGTGTCCGTGGTGGGTGTAGCCAGGGCTAGGATGGGTCCAGCGGGATCTCCTGGTTTCCTGGAGGCTGAGCTGAGCGTCCCAAAGAGCCCCTGCCTGTGTGAGGGCAGGAGGCTGCATAGGGGCAGCACACGCTGTTGATGAGTGGCTTTGAAAGGGAACGTGATGGGCATTGCTCCGAGCTGTACTGTACTGCCCTGTCTCCTGTACTGCCTTGGTCTCTACTGGGTTTGTCCCCAACAGCCTGTCTTCTTCTCTGCCGCAGGTGACCAAGGCAGCTTCTGCATGCTATGTATCATGCAGAACCACGTCGCGCAGGCTTTTGCCAACAGCGGGAGCGTGATAGCGCCAATAGCCTTTGTCCGAGACCTCAAGAGTAAGAATGGCTGCGCTGCACTCCCCTCCCCTCCCATAGCCGTGCCGGAGAGCAGGGAGTAATGTGGGAGCAGAACCTTTGAGATGAGGGCAGGTGACTCGCGGAGCCTGCCGGGACCTGGTGACCTCATGGGCTGTGTGTGGGGCTCCCCCGTGGCTGACACGAGTCTGCCGTCCGCTTTGGTTTGAGGGGGCTCAACCCCTGGGGCCCCCGAGGGAGGTGGGGGGCTGTCTCTTGCAGCTTGTGCTGGAGCTGATTCCTCCCTCTCCTGCAGACATCGCTCGGCACATGCGCTTCGGTCAGCAGGAGGATGCACATGAATTCCTGCGTTACACCATCGACGCTATGCAGAAGTCCTGCCTGAGTGGCTGCACCAGGTACATGGGGCCTCTTCTCCGATGGGCTGTCCCTGCTCTTCTGCGCTGTTCCCTCACTGGTCCCCTGCCCCTGCTGGACGGGGGCTGTGGGGTCAGTGTGTTCCCCAGGCAGCACTTGTATGCCTGGGGCCTAGCCCCGGGAAGCTGCGTTGCCCCTGCAGTGCCCAGCTCCGAGCTCCAGCCAGGAGTTTGTGCTGAGGACACCGTGGTGGCCATGGTGCAGGGATGGTGTGAGACCCGGTGCTGCTGTCTCTAGGTTGGATTGCGAGACCCAGGCAACGACACTGGTCCACCAGATCTTTGGCGGCTACCTGCGGTCCCGTGGTGAGTGCTCGGTGCCAGGCCCTGGGCCTGCAGTCACTCGGGGCTGCTGCTTCGCCAGCAGCCTTGTAGTTAAAATGCTTTGGGAAAATCAGTGAGCACAGGGAAATGATCCAGAGCTTCAGCTGGTCAGTCCCGCGGGACCTGTGGGTCAGGAGCCCTGTTGTGGCGATGGCAAAAGCTGTTGGCTGTGGATCCCCAGCTCATCGCCACCAGCAAAGGAATCCTCTGGCAACACTTGCTGTGCCAGTACGCAGTGGAATCGGCAGCCTTCCTCTGTGCCAGGCTGCGGATCTTGGTGCTCCCATGCCAGAGCTCGAACCTGGAGAGGGGGAGGCGGTCCCTGTACTGTGCTGGGTGGTGGCAGGTACAGGTTGGTGTGCCAGGGTGTGCTCATTGCTCTTTCCTTTGCAGTGGAGTGTTTGGCGTGCAAGAGCGTCTCGGACACGTACGACCCTTTCCTGGACCTGGCACTGGAGATCTGGGTACTGCGGTGGGCCAGGGAGCCAGTGCTCATGCTCTCCAGGGGCCGATGTCTCGGCAGGGAGCCGGGCTGTCGCCTGGCCGGGCCACCCGTGCACTGACCTCTCCTCCATCCTTGCAGCAAGCCAGAGACCTACTGGAGGCGCTGGAGCTGTTTGTGAAGCCAGACCTGCTGGGAGGCGAGAACTCCTACCTGTGCGCAGGGTGCGTGTGGGGCTGCGGGCAGGAACGGGCCTGCGGCTGCGCTGGTGGGGAGCAGGCGGAAAGCCACAACACGGGAGGGCTTCTCAACCGGCTTCACGCCGAAGTGCGAGGCCTTGGAAGCCTGTGGTGAAAGCTGCCGCTCCTCAGCTCCCTCCTCTCGTGAGGAGGACCTGGGCCAGCAGACGTGGCCGTGAGCAGGTGCCTGGTGCCTGCAAGGTCATTTCTGTGGGGTTTGCCACTTGGTCAGAGCTGGCAATCATCTGGGGGGTGGAACAGCTTGAAGAACACAGCTCTTCCTGTGCAGATGCAACAACAGAGTGTCGGCCACCAAACGCTTCAGCATCCACCGAGCCTCCAATGTTCTTACGGTGTTGATGTTGGGGTTGTTGTGTGGTGGGGGGGGTGTGGGTGTGGCGGAGCTGGGGTGTCTCGTGGCCCGAGCAGCAGGGCGGGAGGTGGTCCTGCTGCTCTTGCCCAGCCACACGCTGGGAGCTCATCCTGACACCTTCCTCATGGTGACCTCTGGGGAGAGCAGGTCCCGCTCCCTCAGGAGATGGACTCACAGGACGGCTGGGCTGCTCCTGCTCTAGTAAGAAATGTGTCTGCTGTGCAGGCTCCCGAGACATCCTCTCTTCCTCTGCAGGACTTGGCATACCCTGAGCTCCTGAACATCCGCCCATACATGTCAGAGAACAAGGGGGATCCTGTCATGTATGGGCTCTATGCAGTGCTGGTACACTCTGGGTACAGCTGCCACGCTGGGCACTATTACTGCTACGTGAAGGTGAGCCCAGGGCACTCTGGGCTGGGGGCTGGTGGGTGCTGCTGTGTCTGCTGCAGGGTGCGGGAAGGAGGGCGCTCAGCAGACGTGCATGGTGGGGAGCACTGGAGGGATGGGGGGGTACAGGCTGTGCTCCACTGCAGGAAGCACTCTTGCAGAGTCCTCTTGCCTGCCCTGGGCTGCTGTGGGCTTTGGCCAGAGGAGCTCTGCTGATGGGTGCTATTTGTGCTTGGTCTTTGGGTCAGGAGAGGCCCTGTGCACAGCCCAACCCCGTTCTCTCTTCTGCTTCCACAGGCCAGCAACGGGCAGTGGTATCAGATGAACGACAGCATGGTCCGCCACAGTAACATCAAAGAGGTGCTCAACCAGGAGGCCTACCTGCTGTTCTATGTGAGGTGGGAGCACCTGCAGCCCCCGGCCCTGCTGTGGGGCAGTGCTGGCACCACGTGCCGGGTGTCGGATAAGACGTGGCCCAAGCAGCCTCCTCCATGGCTCAGAGGAAGGTGGCAGGAGAGGTCCAGCCCTTTTCCATGGTTTTGCTCTAGATGAAGAGCACCTCCCTCCTCGGAGCTCCTGGCTCCCATTTCTCGTGTGCATCTCTGATTGAAAGCATTCCACTTGCTCAAACCCTCCCAGTTAACCCGTGTCCTTCTATTCCAGAATCCCCGGCCCAGAGAAGAGCTTGGACGGGCCCATTGCCGGGGCTGCCTCC